TTGGCTTTTCCATCCTCCAGCTGCTTTCAGAGTCTCCTGCAGTTCTCAGTTTGAGGTGGAATTGTCTCAACTTTCCCTTTGATTTTTGTCTAGCTTAATTATTGTCAGTGCTGCACAGTTTCCAAAGAAAACGTCATATGATTGAAAAGCCAGCTGTTCCCTTAGAAGCCATTTGGATGAAAAATGCTCGTGTTTGAACCACGATTCCCATTCCATTGATGGGGAAAATCAAAGCATAGGGATGTGAAAGGACTTGCCTCTTGCTGGAACTACAGCCCGATCCTGTGCACACAGTGTCGAGCAGTGGCTGAGGTAACAGCAAGTCCAACTCCATCTAAAAAGGCATAAATAAAGGTACCAATGAGCCTGAATTGAAGGAGAGGGAAGAAACCACAGCTGTGATTTTGTGCTGTCCCCCTGTGGACAGTGAAGCTCTCTTGGGAGCTGTTTAGGGCTTTCCAAAGGGGAACAAACAAAAATGCAATAGGCAATGACCCAGCAAGGATCTGATTCATGTTATGAGTAGCGGAAACAAAACAAAACTTGTTACAGTGGCAGGTTACGTTTAGTCATCTAAACCAGCACCTGATCCAGCCTCTTTAATGAGGCATCATAATGCCAACATCTACAACAACTCTTAGAAGGAAACATACTGTGGAAGGTTTCTTTCCTTCATGTGAATTTCTAACCCATCTAACCCATGGACTTTCCATTCAAAAGGTTTTCCCTGCATGAAAGAAACAGCCAGAGTTTGCTATCAGTGGTTGGCAGCAGAAATGTTGCTTTTCTATTTAAAACAAATTAATGATTACTGGTTGTTAGTGTTTTCTCATTAAAAGCAGAATGTTAAAGCAATACTTGAGTGCTGAAGTATTACTCTCTAAAGCAAGCTTCATTTTCATAAGTATTTTTAGCCTCTGTATGGAGGTCAGTGGGTAGTTAGTGGCTTAAGTAATATACTTCAAAATTCCCAGTATGAACCATGGGGGGGGGGGTGGAAAACCAGCTTGAAAATCACATGCTTCAGCTATAAAAATACAGCTTGCCCTTTTTTTGTGGTTTTGGCTTTTTTTTGTTTGTTTGTCTGGTTGTTGTGTTGGTTTTTGTTTGTTTGTTTTCAGAAACATTAAAATTTGTTAGCCAGCATGCTAAGAATATATTTTCCCTTTGCAGTCCATTTTAGAGAAATGTACCTGTTGCTGGTAGAGCTGATGTCCCTCAGGGAACCATTCCCACTGCCATCTAAACACTTGGTTTTCATGCAGAAGTCTTGAATTCTGCATTTGCCAGGGTTGTTTTCATGGTCCCAAATGATGACCAATTCCCCAAAATCAGACAGATTTTCAGAGCCCAAAGTGGAAAAGAAAGATGTCTTTTCATGCTTGCCACAATTATTTGTTTTTGGAAGGCGGACACTATTTTTGAGGTGATAACATAAGTGATCTTAATTCTTTCGAGCTTAAAGATTCTGTTCACTTCATCGTCACTTCTAAATATTGCTGAAGTCTTCCATTTGAAAAAAAAGAAAAGCCTTTGAAGGTAAATAGTGCATTTTAACAGGCTTACTCAGAGCTGCTCGTTCTTTGCCTGCATAAAATCCACATGCCTTTAACTGCAGTATTAGTAAAACTAATATCTAAAAAGGTGGATTTGTGCTAATGCCAGCAAAATATGCTGATAAACAGGTGCCTTGTCTGGATAGTTTTGGGGTTTAGTCCTAGTTACAGCATTTGGGCCTTTCTAGAGATAATTATATTTCTGCTGCCTTAACTAAGTCAAAGCTTCAGAGTAGGGCCACTCTAAAATCCCTTTCTGGATTGTTTTCTGGTTTAAAGCCCAAGGTCAGGTTTGGCTTTTCCAGTGCACCCATCCCTTTTGGTTTGAAAAAGGGAGTATATTTAGAAGAAAGAGCCACATCCACCTTCTTTACATCCCGTTACAACTGTCTGAGACCAGAGATTTTTCAGATCCGAACAAGGGAAAGGGTGGCCTCTTTCATGAATGGACCAAGATGGAATGTTTTCATTTCCAATGGGCTTTAAGCCAAGTAAATATTAGTCGATCCAAACTAGTTTTGAAATTAAATTATTCGTATTTGTTGGAGCGTTCCAGAGAATGGCTTTGATCTGTCTGTACTTTCACCAAAGGGATATTGGCAGGCTGGCCTCCCATTTCTAGCCATTCAGGATGAAAGAAGGGTTATAATAACCACCTTGTGTGGCAGTGATACTGAACAGATGACATTTTTTGGACAATATTAAATGAATAAAGGTAAACATACTTCAATTAAAATGTTTTTGGAGGCTGAATGCAGTAGGGCTGTTGGAAAGTCTTCTGTGTGGGTTGGAGGAATTTGCCTGCATTTGTAACTGATTTTCTTTAACTCCAGAAATCTTGGAAAGAGCAGGGTTTGTTCTGTGCGTTATTTCCTTTCCAAATAAATACGTTGTTTGAATATAACTTAACAATCAAATTAAAATTGGCAGTGAACAATGAAATTTTTGGTAAGTGGGAGGTAGAGATGTGTGTTGAAGAAAGATGGTCTTTTGCTTCTGGGATCTCCGATCACCTCACGCACAGTGAGCTCTACTAGGCCTGGTACAACTGAGAAGTAGCTCAGATGACACCTGTGAGTAGAGTGAAGCACATTATCAGTCTTACCAAAGATATTTGGAGACAACTTAAAAATTCAAATTAATAAGTAAAATGTTCAGTGTTCCATAGTCTTTGTTGAAGGTGGGAAGCAGGGTGGAGGAGCACCATAAAGTGCTGCTTAGACACAGCTGAAGAGCCTTTTAAATTGATATCAGCTGATGATAATTTGTGCTCCCCATAGACTTAAATGATACCTTAAATGAACTGAATTAAAATACAAAGAATGGAACCAGTTATTTGGAAAGAACTTCTGGAAGTCACCTGGTCTGACTACCTTCCACCTTCAAAATTAGGTCAGGTATCTATATAAGAAGTTCATTTGTATGTTTTGTGTCTCAGCTGAGAGTTCAGGTTATGTGGAACCTCTGGTGTTGGGGTTTCTTACATGTATTTACTAGTTTTTTGTCAATAACAAAATAGGCAAATTATCTCTTGTGATATTGATGCAAATTAAATTACTTTTCCTAGAAACAGGAGTAGTTTGCATGGATAGACAGGTGTCGCACTCTGTGCGGATTTGCTTTCCTTTCACAGAGGTTGGACTAGCTGTACTTGATTTCTGAGTTAAATAAAAGAAAAAATCTCCTTTAACAGATATCATGTTAAACACTCAGTTCTGTTGGTGAGTGTTCTGAAGTGCCACCTGCATTTGAAGTCTTTCATGTTCATGCCTTAAGGGAGAAACGGTTTGAACAAAGACGAGTAAAAAAGCCAAAGCACAAAGGGTTTGTAGGTTAAAACTTGAGCTTTTGTTTTTTTGAACATCAGCTCAAAACTGGATCCATTTGCGTGAAATGGAATATTTACTTTTCAACTCAGCATGTGGAATGGTCATGCTTGAATTTAAAGCTTGATTTATTTCTTTTTGCACCTGTTTTTATTTTAACACTGACTCTCTATACAAGATATACTTTTGCTACATGGTTCCTTTCTCCCCAGCTGGAAGTCTGGTCTGATATTATCACGTGAGACCTTCTTAAAATGCACATTTGTAACTCTACAACTTCTGAAAATGCAAATGATATTCAGGGTTCCTTTTTTTTTATTATTTTTTTTAAATTTTTGGATTTTTTTCCCTGTGTGTTACAGCACTGACCCACATATTTGGTTCTAAGACCAGGGGCTGGTCATGTACTGCACTACAAAACCTCGTTTCTATGAAAACAAGGTGCAGTCCTGCCCCTGGCAAGAGTACCAGACAGGCTGGATCAGAGGAGAACTGGACATGAACTTGGAGGAGGAAGAGTAAAAGGAGCTGAGGGAGAAAGGGGGGAGATGTGAGACAGAGTGTGGAAAGAGATGCTAAAATGGCAGTGGTGTATGGAAGGGCTGGGAAGTCTGGGAATTTTCTGCAATAGTTACGTTTGACAAAGAGAAGGGATGAATTGAGTGATCTTAAGGAGAAGGTTTTAAAGGAAATTAGATGTGTATTTTCTTGAATATGCAAATTAGAATTACATAATCTGTAATAATAATAAAATCTTTTCCAGATTTCCAGCTGTAACCATATGCTCAATGGGATGGTGGCAGAGAGCTGGCAACCACAGCTGCAGTGTAAAACTGGGGCATCCAACTGGTTTTGATCTTGATAGAAAAGGGGCAGAAGGTCATGTTACAGACTGTTGTTCCCATTGTCTCATAGTTTATATAATCTTTCAGGCTGATAGATGATGTATGATGAGATGTTGGAGGCATTTAAAAGAATTTTAGATGTGGCACTTGGGGACATGGTTTAGTGATGGACTTGGCAGTGCTGGGTTAATGGTTGGACTCTACGATCTCAGAGGTCTTTTCCAGCCTAAATGAGTCTGTGGTTTTATGATCAAATGAAAATGCTTCACTCAGTTGTGTAGTAACTGCGAGCCATCCTCTTTCCTTGCCTTCCCTTCTCCATGGAAAACTGAGGTTGATGGATATTGGCCCTGTTCTTTTCCATTCAGGTGTAGGCATTTCAGGTGTATTTACTGTCTCCTGTGCTGGGTTAACTATGATAACTGTGTGTGCCCTTTTAAAATATAATTTTTGCTGATAGCAAAATTGAGCAAACCCTAAAACTGTTTTTTGGACTTGGTGTCATTTCACCATATTAAGTTGCTGTTTTGAATATACCGTGGAGATTTTTACATATCTCTTTCCAGAGCTGGGCTCAATATATTTTCTGCTCTGTTGGCTTGGTGTGATGCTAAGGATTACTTGCATATCTAAAAATTAGGATGGGCCCCAAGTTGTGTGAAAAGTGTGTATGAACAGAGAGCGTGAGCCTTGTAGGTTGAGAAGTTTTATATTATATGGTGCAGTTTTCGGTCTCATGTAAACCTAACCTTGTTTCTTGTTCTTTTTCCTAGGGTGACTCTGTTATTACAGTGCAGCTGACTGAGGAAGATAAAGTTGAAGATGATGTAGTTTTTTATTTGGTCTTCACTGGATCAACTGTCCAACACTGCACAAGCACAAGAAAGATTAATCCTGGGAGTCTGGAGACAATTTCTCCTGGTAAACAATTACCTTGCTTTGCATATCAGTGTATCAGTCTATGAAATTTGGTTAATAGAAGTGGACTGGAATGTAATGCTGTTTTGTTGGTTGTCTTACTCCTCATTTACACATCCACAGGGAGTAGAATGGTTCGGGTGACTGCTTTTGCCTTTTAAAAATCTCTGTCTTGATTTTGCTAGAATTAAATGACTTTGAGATTACAGTTATTTATGTGAAACTATGAGATTCTACTGTATAAAATACACAGTTACCTTTACCCATAGTAAAAGCTTTTAAATGCATTAAAGATAGCGGAGGACACATTTGCCAGGTTAGAGATGCTGTTGTACAAATGATGTACATCCTGGATAGTCCTAGCTACACTTAGCACCTGCTTGACTCAGTGAGGTTCATTGCTGTAGTCCTGGTGCAGTACAGCCCTTTCCCCTAAAACCTGCTCAGCATTTCTGGAACTCTTGCAGTGGCAGGGGATGTGTGCTGCTTGGTGCCACACGAAAGCCCACCACTCTTCTTAAGCCTCTGTGCCATCAGCAAAACAAAACAAATCAAATCGGTGCAGCATTTCCCTTTGGTGACTTCAGGACCGTGGGAACGAGTGCGTTCCAGGCTGCAGTCCTTACCATTAACCTTTCATTCTGACTTGTTGCTATGCAGCACATTGCTGCTAGTGTGAGAAAAACGCCTGACATTTTCACTATACACAGTGTAGCTCAAGCCATCAAGTGTTTTTCTTGGGTTTGTCTTTTTATCTAACTCCTAAGTATTGTTTTATGAAAGATGCACGTGGAGTAAAATTTGTGCTAAGGAGTTCTTTCTGCTGGGAATGAGTGGCTAAAAGTTGGCCACTCTATGTTGTGTGGTTTTTTTGTTGTTTTTTTTTTTCATTTCCTCCTCTTTTTGTGCTGTTCATGTTGTTCAGTTGGCTTGGGAAGAGAAGTCTTTTTATGGTTACTGATGGCTGGAGCCCCGTGCAATCAATTAGATTAGTGCTTATTTTCTCCTAGAAGAGGAGGAAGAAGAGGGTGACTCCTTCCCTGCTTTTGTGTGGTGGGCGTGGGGCTCTGCCAGCCCCGCTCCCAATGACCTCACCTCCCTCTGGGGACCGTGGCTGTGTCGCCAAGAAAGGAACTGAAAAGCTTTAGTGTTCCCCTTCAGCCCATGTGGGAACCAGCATGCCTGATGGGATTTCCGGGCAGGAGCGATGCTTTCCTATCATCTCTGGCCCTCGGAGCAGCGGTGGGTGTGGCCAGGGCAGTGGCTGCCAGGTGGTACCACGGTGATGCTCTAGGCACTGCCTCTGCTGCCATCCACAGATGTGAGTGAGTCACTGATGGGGGCTCCCTGAGGCTCATTTTGTCGCTGTTGGTGGGAAATCTGACTCCTTTCATGATTCAAAGGGGAAAGACGGCATTTCTCTCAGTTGTTCTTTTAGTAATAATGTGTTGTTTTGGTTCTTTTTTACCCAGTGTAGTCATGGTCTTGTGGTGTGTGATGTTAGATAGGGATGGGTGCTGTCCCAAAATACAGCTTCTATTGGATTAAGATTTAGTGGACCTTCTGGAAATGTAATCCCGTTCCTGCACTGTCTGGGGCTGTGGTGCAAGGGAAGAGATCACATCTCAGGTGTAAAGCAACCATGTGGATAACACCTCTTCTGTGCTCATACCTCATTTTGAAGAAACCACCTAAATAAAAAATACGTAGTGGTGAAGGGGGTGCTGGGGAGAAGCAAAATGGGAAAGAACCCAGGTTTTTTCATACCCTCTGCTGACACCATAGTGTTTGCCCAGTGTTGCTTCAGCACTGACTACTTTGATTTCAATGGAACCTTGACTTGTTTTAGTCCAGCTCTTCCTCCTCCTCCTTCCTGGATGCACAGTGAATCTGTAATCGTGTGTTTACACTGTATATTCGCCAGTTGCCTTGGAGATGGCTGTGGTAACTCAGAGCTGACGTTATTTGACCTCGCTGCAGGATTAACCATGAACAAGAGACAGTGTGTGCAAGACCAGCCCTTGTTTAAACACCCAGGCCCAGGCACTCAGCAAGTGCTCTGCAAGGAAACTCTTGCAAGCAGCTTTTAGACAAAATCTCGTACTTCACTTCCAGCTTTGAACATCCTTCGTTTTTCCCTGCAGTGCAAGACGTGTTGCACATCCCTGGGAGCTCAGCTGCTCCTTGGGGATGGCTCAGGTGGGTGAAGGGAGGGCTGATTAACTCAGGAACATACCAAGCCTCTCTGCTTACCTTGAACCACCCCTGCTTCCCTCCTGGACTTGAAGGCTCTCCCCTCATTCTTGTTCCAAGTCCTCAAAAATCCAGCAGAGTTCAGATGAAGTCCATCAGGGGCAGGGGTCAAAGGGGTGGTTACAATTCAGTTAAAGGTAATGTAAAAACAAACACAGATTTAAATTTTTTTTTTCTTGACTTTGTCAATAGTTTTTTTTTGATGCATGGAGGCATAAAAAACAGACAGAGAAATGATTTGATTACATTTGCTGCCAAAGTTAAGCAGAATGTTTGAGCGAAGCTTTCAAAGAAAATCACATTTTAAGAAAAGAATCTTGACAACATAAAGTTGTTATAGATGAAAAATTAAAGAAAATGGAATGGAAATATAAGCTGTCAAAATACCTCCTAAATTCTCATTGTATGTGAAAATTCTCTATATCCTGAAAGACTTTACCCAAATAAAAGCTTGCAACTGCAGAGTTAAATGACTGCTGCGTTTTATATAATTACTGGAGCAATCTTCCTCTTTCTTATGCTTTGTCATCAGACTCAAACACTGAATATATATAGTTCACACTAGTGTTCAAATATAAGCTTTTATTTCTGTACATAATAAAAGAAGGGACTTCTGATTGTAAAAATATGGGAACAGCTTTTATTTATCTGAAAATGTGGCTAAATGTAGAGTCAGCAGTCACTCAAAGGAGAAAACACCTACCTGTATTTCTTCACTTGCTCTGAAGGATGGGGTGGGATGATTATTTATCCTGCCCTATTATTGACTGTGTTAATTTAAAGGAAATAATTTGTCCTTATAAGAAACAGGTTCTCATCTGAGATGATCAGTCATCACTTGAAGTATCAAAATTAGCTACTGAGATATAAGAATTAGGCAGTAGGTGATGCTTTATGTGCTTTCAGTAGCTCTTTGCCAGCCTAAGGACACATCAGGTTACATGGTCCAACTAAGTTTCTGTTTGCCTTGGTGAAAAGGTACCAAAACCTTATTTAACTCTTGCTTTACTGTCCCTGTTAGAGTTCTTCAATTTCTAAATGGTCTGCTTCAAATTTTCAGTGATTGGAGCAGTTTTCCTCAGTACCACTGGCACTCTGGTAGTTCTGCAGAACAATTTCAAAGGCTGTTTTATCAGACACCATGTTAAGGTGGCAGCCAGAGGTGTAATGGTTCTGGATACTGCTCGAGTTTGGATATCCTTGTTTGCAAAAGCTCGGTCACTGGAGTTTGGGTATTAAGAAAATACCAAAGGTCTGAGCAGGGAAGGAAGCAGAGAAATGATACCAGCGGAGAAATTATACCAGCTGTGTTGCTGTGGTTAAACTGTTGTTGGCTGCTGAAATCGTGCTTTTGGGGATGGATGTGTCCACTTATGTCACAGATGCTCATCCTACTATTGTTGGTCATGAACTGAGCTTTTCAGCAAGTCTTTATTCCTGTAGCAACTGAGACTGCCACAGTCTTATGTATTTCTTTTTTCTTACCATCTCTGCCGGGTAGGGAAGGTCACTGAAGCCAAGCAGGTTGCATATGGTAGTGTAGAAAATCTGTGCAAACCAGGGAAGTGAAACTTCATTGCAAGACAGCAGCCTCATTGCCTGCCTCCCTGCTAGAGCAACTTTTTCCCCACTGAGGAAAAAACACAACCTCATAAAAAAAAAAATCTGCAAATCATGATCTGGCAAACAAACCAGCAGAAGAAGGAACGACCTCATCACCACACGAGTCAAAACCCCCAACCACATCTTGCCATGGGCAGTGGAAGCCTCTCTGCATTGGGAAGCTCTTGGGCAGATTTGGGAGAATTTTCTTGCAGGAGCTGATGTGCTGGAAGCTCGGGTATTTGGGTGGTGCATCTAGTGCAAGTTTGTGAGCCACCACCGTAGCAGCTCGTGATTGGGCACATGTTCTGCTTTGCATTTAAAGACTGGTGTGTAGTGTGTGGGAAATTTGAAATGAAATTTCAAATAGGGAGAGACAGTCCAGTACTGAAATCCAGAGCTGCAGCAGCTCCTAATCAAATAAGTCAAGGGTAAGAAATACTCTCTCTGTGAGCCAAGTCACTGAAAAAAGTAGTAAGATAATTTTATGAGATATAATTGCCTTTGTAAATACTGTTGTAATGTGTTGTATCACTCTGAACTCTGTAATAACAAAATGGCTTTTCTCTTGTTGGTTGATCTCAAAAGGTTCAGGGTTCTTGTGTAGGTTTCAGAGGGGAGGAGGATCAAAATTGGAGGTAGAAAAAGGGCCTGAAAGACTGTCTGTCTGCTGGTAGCTGCTTGCCTGCAGTTTTCACAGGGTTGAAACACTCCCTTTTTACTCCAAATGCCTTGACTCACCTTTTCTTCATGCTTAAGCTAAGGTGGAGAAGCCACTTTGGTCTTTAACTTGTTCTTAATTCTATAGTTCTCAGGGTTGGGTAGGTGTTTTTTCCCTTTCTTTCTGCTAGTTAAAAGGATAGGCGAAAATTAATTTCAGTTAACTTGGAAATATCTTAATTTCAAACTATTTTTTTTCTGTGAAATCCTTTTGTATGCTCATACTTTATTCTCTTCCACAGACTGTGTTTTCTCTTAAGAAACAACTCTTCATAGAAAAAGCAGTATTTCGTGAGTTACAGTCTTTGTACTGGTAGATGAAAAGGGTAAACAAGTTGCATAACAAATGGCCACTTGGCAGTACCAGTTATGGATTTGAAAATACTCCTAATTATGAAACAAAAACCCCCTAAAATAGACTAAAACAG